AACATATTTTTTTTGGAAACTGCGATACTTTTTTCAGGATTCTTTGATGAATAGAAAGTTAAAAACTTCTAACAATATAAATCTTTGCTATCACTTCTTAACAATTGAACACATCCTTGCTGAATAAATGTTTAATTTCTTTCAAAAAAAGAAATAATTAAAATTCACTGACCCCAAACTTTTGAACTGTAGTGTATATTGTTAGAAAAGATTTCTATTTGAAATAAATGCTCTTCTTTTTAACGTTTTATTCAAAGAATCCTGAAAAAAGTATCACAGGTTCCAAAAAAAATATGAAGCACTTTCCAGCACTGATAATAAATCAGCATATTAGAATGATTTCTGAAGGATCATGTGACACTGAAGACTGGAGTTATGATGCTGAAAATTCCGCTTTGCATCACAGGAATAAATTAGATTTTAATGTATATTAAAATAGAAAAGTGCTATTTGACATCATATTAATATTTCACAATATTAAATTTTTTCCTGTATTTTTGATCAAATAAATGCAGCCTTGATGAGCATAAGAAACTCCTGTAAAAACATAAAAAAATCGTTCTGATCCCAAACTTCTGACCGGTAGTTTATGTGTGTTTACTGCATTTGTTTTATTTTATATATATATAAAAATTACATATAAGATGTTTTAAATTATAATTAATATTATAATTATAATGCAATTATAAGCATACAATTAAAATACGCACACACATTATTTTATGCATATAGATGCATGTGTGTGCATGCATATCTATATTATTTATATTAAAAACTTTACAATAAAATGTCATTAAAATTAATACAATTATAGTCATATTATTTTATATATGAAATATATGTATAAAATTAATGTGCATTTTTTTAACCTGTATTATATGCATTTATTAAGTTATGCATGTATAACACACACATCATATATATATATATATATATATATATATATATATATATATATATATATATATACACACACACACACTTTTTATGTATAAATGTAGTTGTTAAAACTTCAAATATGCAGTTTATTTACAATGATTTAAAAATGCTGCTTTTACAACAGAGAAATACTTCTATAGAATTTCTTTTTTTTTTAAACTGTGGAAGTCAATGGCTACCATCAACTGTTTGGTTACCAGCATTCTTCAAAATATCTTTTTATGTTCAGCACAGGTTTGGAACAACATGAAGGCGAGTACATGATGACAAGATTTTCATTTTTGGGTGAGTTAACTCTTTAAGAAGCAAAATAATGAAAAGAAACGGCTGCTGTGCATTTCTGCACAGAGGCGGCGGTGACTTACGGGTGGCGTTGGTGCGGATGTAGATGATCTCGCTCTTGGCCCCGCGGACGAGGTGGTCGTCAGAGGCGGCGAGCTGGGCTTTGACCATGATGGCGTACTGGGTCCAGGGCTTCAGAGGCATGATGAGGAGACCCGGCTCGCTCTGGCTTTTGCCCTCGGAGCCGCGTTCAGGAGGCTCCACGTCTGCGATCGCCCAGCTGTTAGAGCCACAGGCATCCTGCCCGTCATATTCAGTCACGTTCTTATAAGGACTAAACAGGAAGAGAGACAATGTTAGGTAGTACTTTAATGCTTTCCCACATTAGTTTTTAACTAGTTATTATAATGTTATAGCAGATTAGAAATAAATTAAAAGCTGAGAAAAATGTTATTAATATTTTAATATTAAAGAATTAACACACACACACACACACACACAAATATATATACACACATATAAAGAAAAAATATTAGAACGTATGACATTCAAAATTATTTAAATAATTTTTTACATTATGTATATTAACTATTGTGCAGATTAGAAATAAATTAAAAGCTGAGAAAAATGTTATTAATATTTTAATATTAAAGAATTAACACACACACACACACACACAAATATATATACACACATATAAAGAAAAAATATTAGAACGTATGACATTCAAAATTATTTAAATAATTTTTTACATTATGTATATTAACTATTGTTCAGTTTAAATGAAGACGTAAATTATGTAAATAATATGCATAAAAATAATTTGGTTTTACATTGTCAATCTTTGAAGCAATTATTATAATATGTAATTATATAATTTATAATTTTACTAACCAATAATAATTAGAATTACAATTTTTTTTAATGATTTCAAGTTTAAGGTAATAAAATGCAAAAATGACTAGGATACACAACAACTGTACCTTGAACAAATTCTAATTAAATATAATAATATATAATCTGCTTGTATTATTAACTAATTAGAATTTTTAATGCTCTCTAATCCAAAGTGGTTTTAAAAACAAGTAGGAAATAGAACATCAGTTTTATTAATGAATTATAATTTAATAATTTTATTAGCCAAATGTAAAGCTTTTAAAAACAGCATTTTCAAACTAATAATTAAATATAATATCAAATATCAAATGATAGTAACTAAACGTAATATTTTTATAATTAAAATAGTGTTTTAATACTTTTAAGTTAAGTAATTAAACACAAAAGTAAAAACAGGCAAGACAGAGCGGCATTTATATTAATTAGCTAAATAAATCATACATAAAATATCATTTTAATACTAATATTAAAAATAATAAGTAAATAAATACAAAGTATAGCTAGTCATATTCCAAACATACACAAAACATAATACAATTTAAACAAGCAGGATGTAGAACATTTATATTAATTAAGTATAGTTAATTAAATAATATACATAATTTTTCAATATTATTATTCAAATACTAAGTAAATAAAAACTAAACTAAAACTAATCACATTCCAGACATACACACAAAACAATACTACTAATAAAAGTACAAATTACAACAAAACTGAAACTGAAAAATCAAAACAATTAAAAAGAAAAATGTGACTTTTCAAAACCATAATAATACATAAAAGTATAATACATTAAAACAACGGTAACACTCACGCTTCCTTGTATAAGACCATGAATCCCAGCAGGTCCCTGAAGTCCGAGGGCCAGAACGCTTTCCACTTAATGAAGATCTTGTTGTGGATCGTGCGGATTTGCGTAAATTTAAGAACTTGGTTTTCACCTGGAAGAGAGGATGGATTAGCAAGCCTGGCTTGACGTAAAGCTCAAGCTGCACTCAAACCAAAAGCGCTGCGGGTCTTACAGTAGGTCTGGTCTGCATACGCTGGGATGCTGATGTCGTTCTTCCTGTCCTTGGTCCCGGTCACTTCTTCCATCCGGAGGATCTCAGACTTACAGAGCTTGCTGTTTTGAACAAAGTACATCTTGCCGTTGAGGATGGTGATGTTGTGTTTGTTCCAGTCCCACAGCTGTCGCAAGTTCAGGTTGTCCAAGGCATAGAAAGAATAGTTCCTGCAAAGATCAAAAACGGACATTAAGTAAGCTGTAAGCTCAGCGCTAGAGCTCAGGGGCGGCGTCTTACGCACTCGGCTTCCAGCGTTCCTCCACGAATGACACGCAGCTTGCGGAGGAAGGAGAGCGAGACGAGAGCGTGGGCTCTGCGGATGCTCAGATAGCCTGTGATCTCCTCCAGCTGACCCAGACTAGACTCCAGCTCGGCCGCGATATTGTCTGAGGAACACAAGATGTGTTTTCATTTGCATCAGTAACTTCACATACTTCACTTCATATTTAGATACATATTAGTATGTGCTAAAAATATTACATGACTATGATATGTATCATAGCACTCATTTATTTCAAATAGTTTTGTATCATAATGCTAAACTGAATAATTGAATTGTACTTGTTATAGTTAACTATTTAATATTTTATTTTCATAAATATATAAATACATATTTGATAGATATTTTATGTATTTGGATTAATTTGACAATTGTTTTTTATATTGTGTTATGTAATTACTTACTGTAATGAATTTTTTATTAATTTAAAATATATTGTTATTATAATTATATAAAATAAAATAAAAATTAATATTTATTTTTTTTAATAAATGACAGAAGTTTAAATAATTTGCACAAACATTTTTATGGTTTTGTGTAAATAAAATATTACAATCTTTAGTATTCTGAAAGCTAACAAAAATTTGAAGGCAAAATCAATATTACATAATTTTTTTTGAAATGTTACAAAATATGAAAAATAACTATGCATGTAAAAACTAATTATCATTTGTAATCTATAACATTTTAATATATAAACCTTTATTAATTAATTGTATAAACATACAAGTTTTTTCTTAAACATTTTTTATTTAAAATAATAAAATTAATCATTTAAAATAATTTTATACATTTTATGTATTTGATTTTTGGAGCCATTTAATTTTTATATTCAGTTGTTTATTTATGTTATAATATGTTATTAACATAAATGTGTTTTTTAATAATGTTCAACTGAATAATTGATTTATATTTATAATAGTGTTTAATATTTTATTTTTATAAATATATTAAAGTATAAATATTTTATGTATTTGGATTTATTTGCCATTTAATAGCAAAATTCTATTGTCTATTTATAAATATTTTTTGTAATTTATTTAAAGTGTTAAATTATATTATATATATATTAAATATATAGATTAGATTAATAGCTTTTTTTCTTTTTTTTCTTTTTTACAAATAAGCTTATAGACAGGAAAAAGTTCAAATAACTTGCACAATAATCATTTTATGGTTTTGTATAAATAAAACATAAAACATTTTGAAATAATATTAACAACATTAATATATAGTAATTAAAATAATGGGGAAAAAAGACAATATGCCCGTAAATGCAATCAATCCGCTTGCGGAGCCATTTCAAAGAGCACAATACTCACTTCCTTTGCTGATTTTAAAGATCAGACTGCCGTTGAGCAATGTACAGCCGCGCAGAGCCTGAGCAGCGGTGACCGAGTCTACCATCTTCACCCCCGTACACAGTTTGGGACATCGACCGGTGCATGGCTTGCAGTTCAACCTGAATGAATGACAGCGATGGGTTTTAATCAAGACCAAACTGCGAGAGCAAGCCTGAAGACGCTCAAAGTCATTAACGGCTTTCAGACACCTGACTATTGCTTTACACATGTATTCGCCATGATGTCAGCAGCTGGCACTGCTTTTCCAGATTGCGATTGCCTCGGGGCCAAACATATCGTTCCCTTCCCGCTAAAGTCTCATGTCACCTGCGCTCTTGTCATTGTTGTGATTGGAACGAGCCCAAATGTGCTGGAACGGATTGTGTGCCGCAATGCATCTGAATGGAACAGGTCAGTGAGGGCAAACGTGAAAACACAATCCCGCTGAGACTCAACTAAATACCACGGATAGTTGTTTTGGCTTTGAAGTATGCGACCTCCGCATCCATGCTGTATGAAGAGACGACTCTGGAGACGAGGCCTTTTGATGCAAGAATCGGCACCTGCGCTGAAAGATGCTGTGGAAAGATCTAATCGTGGAATGGGAACGTAATGAATCCCACAAATGCGCAGAGCATTTGTATAATTCTGCTGCTTAATTTGAACACTTTTTAACAAAACAAGAGGGTGACTTTACGTAATCACGCTCAAATCTTGCTGAAATGTTGCAGCAGTGGGTGGGAGGGGAATCCGATGCTATTTTTCTAAATTAATTTAGAGTTACAACATTGAGATTTCATCTATCACCATCTGTCTTTATTCTCCGATTCCATTAAAAAAACAAGGCAAAAACTTTAATACCTTTATGGAGGGGAAAAAAGTGTCTTAAACTACACATTGTCATTTGATTCATTAACTGTTAACTGTATGTGTTTGATGTACTCAAACAAACCAGTTCATAAGAATCAGATTACAAAAATTGTGCTTTATTTTTTTGATTGACTAAAAAAAATCAGCTCATAAGAGTAATTCGTTTGGGAATCATTTTAAACGGGCTCTGCTGTAATTTGTGTAATTTGTGTGAGAAATGGATTACACTGACCGTGCTGTATGTTTTTGTTTCACTGAAAAGGATTCATACCTCACGTTTCGTGCTGTATGTTAATGTGCTGTAGATTCAGGGGCCGTTTACACGACAAAGTGCACGTTTTTGAAAACGCCACCGTTATCGTTTCCGTGTAAACACCCAAAACGGGAATCTTTGAAAATGGTGACGTCATGCGCGTGCATAGTACGTGTTAGGTATGTAGACATGCGCAGTACGTGTCGATTTTAAAGGCAAGCGCCGGTACTGTTGGTGCATGGTACTGTTGTTGCTGTTTAAGAGTTTTCTAACGCTTCTTCAGCAAAGTGTGGATTTACTTCACCAATATTACAACCAACAGCGGACCTGCATCATATACTTCATAAGAATCAGATTACAAAAATTGTGCTTTATTTTTTTGATTGACTAAAAAAAAATCAGCTCATAAGAGTAATTCGTTTGGGAATCATTTTAAACGGGCTCTGCTGTAATTTGTGTAATTTGTGTGAGAAATGGATTACACTGACCGTGCTGTATGTTTTTGTTTCACTGAAAAGGATTCATTCCTCATGTTTCGTGCTGTATGTTAATGTGCTGTAGATTCAGGGGCCGTTTACACGACAAAGTGCACGTTTTTGAAAACGCCACCGTTATCGTTTCCGTGTAAACACCCAAAACGGGAATCTTTGAAAATGGTGACGTCATGCGCGTGCATAGTACGTGTTAGGTATGTAGACATGCGCAGTACGTGTCGATTTTAAAGGCAAGCGCCGGTACTGTTGGTGCATGGTACTGTTGTTGCTGTTTAAGAGTTTTCTAACGCTTCTTCAGCAAAGTGTGGATTTACTTCACCAATATTACAACCAACAGCGGACCTGCATCATATACAACATAAAATCGTCACTTCCCTACAGATACTGTTTACTAACAAGGTGACAGCGCCAACTACTGGCCTGGCATACGTAATACAGCGTTTTTGGCTGTTTTCACGGATGTGTGTAAACCAAGCGGCAACCTTCCGGTCTCTCTCGTGAAACCAACACGGAAGTGACTAAAACTGCAATTCATTGACTGGCTGAGGCTGGCTGCAAAAGGGAGTCAGACCCATAGACCTGCCATGTTAAAATGCCCAACTTTACAGCAGAAAAAAATATGTTTACAGCCTGGTACAAAAAGTGGTTTTGGTCTATATAGCTAATTTTGCCCTTCATGACAACTGTGAGAGGGGTGAATTTTTTTATAACTCATCCGTTTAAATTATATTAAGCCTTAAATTTCTGCATAATTAAGGGCGTGGCCACTTGAGTGACAGGTGGATTGCCGCTGCTGTCACCACCGTCAAGCTAGGGGGGCGTAGTTTCAGCAACCAGCTCCCGCCTCTTTGCCAATTTTCGATTATCCGGGAGTGACGCGCTGCCAAGATGGCGACGGCCGGCTCCGCCTACTTTAGGCTTCAAAAACGCTCTTCGGAAGCTTGCGGGTGACGTCACAGACACTACGTCCATGTTTTTATACAGTCTATGGTGTAAACCCGAATCGTTTTGAAAACGTTGTCGTGTATACGTGAAACTTTTTAAAAACACAAGGGAAAAACCTTTCCGTTTTTGACTACATCGTTGTCATGTAAACATAGCCTCAGTCATTCGGTGTTGCGGCCCCATTGAGTACTGTGAACGAAACTCTGGCAGAGTAGTTTACAAGGTTTTGGCGGAAGAATGAACATGCGCAAACTATTAACTTAACCAAACATCATTGGGTTCTGTTATTATTTAAAGAGCAACGGTTACTGGTTCATACCCTATTCAAGTGTATTTGGGGGCGATTTAGAGTTTAACTGAACCCTTTTCAACTGCCACTACAAGAAATACTTAACAGCATCACGCATTTCAGGAATTAATTTATTTGGAAACCCCCAAACACACCCACAGAAATGCTCAGCAGTTCATTCACAAATGAGCATTTTTCTCTCTTAGGTTTTTAAGCCCATACTCCCACTATTTAACTCCCCCTCCAGTTTTGGAGATCCACGCAGATTTGTTGAACCTACTGTTTTTACATTTTAACTCCGTCGAATGACATTTACATGCCGCTAAATTTTAGTTCTCGATGCGTCGTCATCTCATTTGGAAAATAACAGGGAGGGATGGATGGGGGGCGCTGTTATGAAACGGGACTTATTGCCGCATGACTGCCTCCCACAAAGGCGAAAGGTGGCCGGACGAGAAAAACAAGCCAAAGACGTCACTTCAAAACAAAATTCCTGGAAAACCGAGATTCCATCAAGCTTCCACAACTGCAGCGCTCCGACGTGGAGACAAAGGAATCAAAAGGCCAGTGAAACAGCCACCTTTTTAAAGCCTCCGAGACCCCAGCAAACGCAAACAAAGGCTGCCATTGTTCCTGCAAGGCTGCGTTTTACTCCCGTTCTCGGTGTTAATTCTCTGTTCATTTGTGCGTTAATAATAATGAAGCTGGACGTGCAAACCAGCATGTGTGCGAGCTTCCGGACATTCCTGGGCAGTCAAACGGACTCAGGCTCAAAAAAAGGGCCGCTAGTGTCGCTTTCCGACACACAATGTTGTTTTGGTTTGGCTCATTATACTTCTGCTTAGCTTGACAAATTCAGCTGGATTGCAAATGACTCTGTTGGAATAATCAGGGTGGCATTTTATCACACTCAACACTTGACACCGGCCATTATAATCTGCTCATTTTCAATTTGCCGTGACTGACGAAAAGACTAAATGATTCTATGATACTTCCAGAAGAGTTTTATCTTCTCCCGGTCAAGTTGAGCATGACAACTGGTTCGTTAATTTTCTAAATGACCAAAACAAATCACAGCGTTAACCAGAAACTGCTTCTTCATGGCTGCAGCACATTATTCACTCTTTAAACAGTCATTTATATAGAAGAGGGGGGAAAAAAAGTCTCACAAAACCTGTCAAGAACATGTACAGTGTCAAGAGAGAAATTATATTTTTAATAAATGATTTAAAATTATATTTTAGTAATTATAACAAAATGAATTAATACTTTTATAACAATTTAATCTTCTTTTTTTTCTTTCTTGGATTTATAATTTATTAATTTTAATAAATATATATTTGTTACTATAATACAATAATGATAAAAAAAGGTCTTGATTTTCTTTAAGATTATTTTATACAACAATTAAGCATTATCCTTTTTTTACGTTTAAAAATATTTGGAAAAACCATGTTATAACTACTTATTAGTTTAATTTTACTTTATAATGCTAAAGACAATTTAGAGGGAAAATGTGTTTAATTTTTTCAGATAATTCAAATCAGATTGTACACTATCCTAGTGGATAGTAGTACAGTAGTACTTGACTCTTTAATTTAACTTTGTAATTTGTTTGTCTAACTCGAAACTCATTCTGCCACTGTTTTTCATCAACTTATGTTTGATGTGTAGTGAAATCTGATTAGAGTTGATTGGAAAGTGGAATGCAGTTTAACAGTAGCAGTCTGGCTCCTGTAGTTGCATTTATTTAAAAAAAAGGTGGTACGTACGAGGTGGAATTCATGGTGGTGTATCCAGACGGGCATTCTGGGATACAGGCTCCGTTGTGGATGACGTACTCGTGGCAGTCGCCGCTCTTGCCCTTGCACTGGTTGTGAAGGTCCTGGCAGAATTTAAAGGACACGCAGCGCCATCCCTTGAAGGTGTAGTAGCCCAGCGGGCAGCGCTCCACGCAGGTGTCGCCAAACAGGAAGTTGCGACAAGCCACGCATTTGGTCGCGTTCCCTGGCACGGAGCAGCCGCCCAGACACTGGTCATGACAGCACTCCTTATCGGGGGTACAAGCACCGTGGACGCATTCGGAAGGGCAAACTGTGAGGGGAAAAAAAGTGAGAAAAGGACTTTTTAGACTAATTTTTCTTTAATGTGAGAAACAACAGATTTCTATTACAAAAATTGAAATCTGTCGATTTCAAATACAACACATATTTTTAAAGGCTGTTCTCTCAATTTCTCAAAACAAAAATTGTTTCCCCACTTTAGTAGCATTCACATACACAAAACACTCCCATCTATATTCTGAAGGACTTTACTAAGGGGTGTTCGTTCATATAACACTCGCCTGGTTTTATACAACACTTTACTCCTAAAACCATGGTTAAAATGTGTATTTTTCTGGCTGTTGACAGTATTTTGTGATTTATGAAGTGATAAAAAGAGATATCCAAAATACCCTCTATAAAAACATTTGACTCTAGTATGTTTTTAAAATTAAAACTTTAGTTAATTAAAATTAAACAAGAATTTTAAACCCGGCTTTATCCAATGTTCTGGAAAATTCTACAAATTAGAGCATATTCAACTAGAGAATGCAGTGTTGGCATATTTAAACATAACAGAAAAACTGAAAAAAAAAAAAAAGTTGCAATTCTTAATGTATTCAATGTATTCACCAAATTCAAAAATTAAGCGTAGAATTGATTTTTACTCTGAAATTGTGAGTAAATTTGACAAAATATCCAAGATACAACCTGACTTGTTATTTTTATTTATATTTCGTTAATTTTTTTATTTAAAGAAAATAGTATCCAATATAGAATTTTTTTTGGTGATTTTTCAACATAATTTTTATATGAATAAATAAAATATTAAAATGATTTCTCATAAAACATTCAGTTAAACTTTGTGTGTACCACACACAGTGTACTGTTCTATACACAATTTTTTTTAAAGAAACTGTTGCACAGTATAGATTTGTTTTACAATTATTTCAAATAAAGAAATATTAAAAATTATAAAATGATTCATAATAAATAATACAAACATGTAAAAATAAATACATTAATAATAAAAACAATGTAAAATTATGGTAATAAACTTTCTTTTTTTTTCAAGTTTGCTTAAGCAACTACACACAACAGTAGAGCATGCGTGTTCATATTTATATAAAGAGTCATCTAAGCATGTTAATGCACAGCGTGTCAATGCAACCCAGCATTAAATTCAGCCTGAGCAGAAATGCCGCCTCCTGAGACTATTTCATAGATGTCGGACACGGAAGGCCTTCCAGGTTACAGTGGAGAAACAAATCTGTTGGACTTCATTAGTGCCATAAAACCCTCCATCATGTGACACTGGGCCGCCTCACAGGAGCAAAACAACATGGACCCTTCTGCCTGTCAGCGACAGGGCGGACCATACCACTGCCTGATTGAAATAAAAAAGGACAAATGGGGCCGATAGGTGACGGGGATTATGGAGGCGAAAAGATCCTGAATACATACATACAAACAGAATAGGCACAAAAAGACAGAAAGCCAAAGCAAAATTCCTGAAACTGTGCAAAACATGTCAATTTGAAGTGTTTAATACTCTTAAACAAGCATATTTAACCACTGTCTGCCTCAACTGCAAGGCCCAACCCACATTTGTACACGCCACAATCTTTCACCGACTCCCGATCCAGTCGAAACTCCAGTCCGGGTTTCACAAGCAGCCTCAGATCCGCCCTCACCCTTAACCAATGTTTTTGCTGTCCGTGGAAGGCAGCCATTCAACGGCCTCTTCCAACAGAGAGAGATATCCGCCCAGCGTTAACCCCCGACGCGCCGGCAGACAGGCGGCAGACAGATGCAGCGGGAACGCATTCAGAATACACGAGGACAGGCAGGAGCGAGCATGCAGACGGGCGCAGCCTCCACTCTCACAGCATTCCTCACATACGCCAGCGATTGCAGGACTGCGTAACCCTGCACAAAACACACACCCACCCCACCCCACCCCTCCAGGACAGCCTCCGCGGCGTCTCCCAAGGATGATCGCTGTGTAAACACACATCTTCTCTCTGCGGCCTTTGTAGTCCCTCCTGCTTTCATTCATAAGCATTGTGTGGGTTCTGATGTCTGATTTCTTGTTCTTTTATGGGTATCAAAATTATTGCATTACCACTTACACTATTAAAAACGCTTTTTTTATATATTTATTACATTTATCATTATAATTGAACTCTGCAACTGCTCATCCCTCTCTCCAAAATCTTGTCCTCCCTTCAAATATATGTCTTTAAACGATATCAGCAATCTTGGGATGTGCATGAATAATCGATTCCAATACCATGTCGGATTAATTTTAATACATTTTTTTAATTATTTTTTTGGGACTAACTTACAAAGCAGGTGCTACCCTGTGCTAAATATGAAATTCACAATAATTTTGCTAGAGCTATAAAATTTGAATCTGATTTATAGAATAATGATGAATAAAAAAGGAGGTTATTTTCATATAAATTTTAATTCAATATTAACTTCTGTGTATTACTAGGATCTTTTTAAGTGGGAGAACTTGCACAATTGGTGGCTGACTAAATACTTTTTTGCCCCACTGTAGCTGCCTATAAATAAACAAGTAAATAAAGTAAATAAATAATTTATGTTGTGCTATGTTATGTTGTAATTTATGCTATGTTGTGCCAAATGTGAATATTCACAATAATTTTGGTAGTGATATAAAATTGGAATCTGATAAAAAATATAAATAAAAATTCTCAGTGTCATTTTAAAATTTTATTTTAAATAAAAAAAAAACACTTGATATATATATATATATACATTGTCAGGGTTCTGTCACTTATACATTATAATATGTAAGACAATAAAATATATTTTTTCACTAAATAAATAGGGGGAAAAAAGAGCATTTAGCCAAAATTCTCCTTTAAAGACAAAGTAAATACATACATAAAGTCTGAATATCATCAAAAGGCTGAAAAACATCAAGACCTAATTGTTTTTTCCATATCACTGAGCCCTAGTGACATGTGAGCGCGACACGGACCATAAACACGCTTCCCTATATTCACTCTGAGGTCACGGGTCAACAGCATTCACTGAAAACTCCTGCGGATTCCCCATAAAAACACGCTAATGCATTTACATGTGCACGCTGAAGCACTTGGATGGCTTTTTACTATATTTGGCTGCACTCGCATGTCTCAGGCTTCAAAAGATTTACTGTAAACGCTGCTGATCATTTGTTAGGAGGCGTGCAGCTTACGAGAGTGGAGGCAGAGTGAGGAAGTTGGGGGAGGGGAGGATAGAAATGTAAACAAAACAAACCCGTAAATAGGGGAGGGAAGAAAGCCTCGAGGCGCTTGCTTAGGAGGAAAGGAAAGAAAGCTCTGGAACGCAGCCGAAGGTATGAAAGCACCTTGTTTATGCAACCGCGCACTGGAAAACACACAGAAATGTTACAAAGACACTGGCCGGGTAACCCATCATTCAAGGTTCATCGGTCCAAGAACTCGACAAACAAAAACAAGCTTCAGAAGAATCATCCCTGATTTCACCAGATTACGCAACGCAGGTGAACAGGAAGTGCAAAGGTGATTCGCTATCAGGCCGTGGTCAATACCAAGGAGTTGACCAGCACAAGCAAAAACTAATGCTAATTTCACGTTTGCAGACACAATGACGTCTTCCTGAAGAATCAACCTCTGAAAGAACACTTAAAATAGTTCACTTGATCAATCATAAGATGACGTTTTTTGCATTTTAAGGGTGCAAGTGTGCACACTTCACCACGGGAGTGAGCAGTGGACCTGCTTGGGCAAGTTGTGGGAGTGCCTGTCATGAACAAACATCCCACAACACCTCAACGGCAAGCACACGAGCACAGGCAGAACGTCCATGTCACTTAGCCAATAACGAAAAGCAACAGTATAAAAATCTTTGTCTCTTTTTTTTTTTTAAACAAAATTGGACTCATTTAAGGAGATTTATTGGATTCACATGAATTATTATTCATTCATAATCTTAGCCTTGGTCGGTTGGTGCTTAATTTGAAGATCCCCACATTGGGCGCCAAGTTTTGCATAAAAGTATTATAAAACACAATATGGGATGAGCAATTTTCATGTTTGCATTGTGCAATCTCCAAAAATGGGTTCAAAGTATTTAACCAAGTACTTCTAAGGTAAAATCTAAATGGTTTTGTGCCAAAATGTTGATTACCACAAAAATGACCACAAAAATGTGGTTCCACTCGTCACCCGTTTTCTATATTTAAAAAATAAAAAAATTAATGGAGGTTGCGATGAGAAAGTAACAATGGAAGTGAATGGGGCCAAGATATAAGCAGTAAGTTAACATGATTTCAGTAAAAAAAATTCTTATAGCAAGTATTTAGTTGGGCCAAATATGAATATTTACAATAATTTTGCTAAAATTTGAAATTGCACTTTTAAAAACAAAAGTTTAAAAAGGAGGTCTCTGTGGCAATTTTTTCCCAATTTTATTGAAATAGTATATTTTAATGCCATAAACTAAAACAACTGCCGAAATCATAATTTAAACAGTTTTATTGCTCAAATAAACAACTTTCAACAGAAGAAATAATATAAGTGCTTTTATAAAATTATAAATGTTTGTTAAATCCACCACAATCCTCCTTTAACAGCAATTTTAGCCAAGAAGTCCTCATACCGCGTGTAATGCACAAGGAAGTGTTTTGAGACACATTTCTCAAAATTACAATTGGGTTTTCCCCTCCATATTTGGGATAAACAAACACTAACCAGTTTTTAATGTGTAACTGAGCTTTACACCCAGACTGCTGAACAATTAACTCATCAGCGTAGACTTTAACACACAAATACTTGACTGTCACAGTGACTGGCAGGACAGACTCATGTGCCTTGAGCAGGTGAACTTAAGAGGTGGTGAAAAAATGCAAAGCTTAGCTTCTCCACACAACCAAAGTGACAAAATCGGATTAGGCCAATCAAAAAAACATCAGTCTAATTGGCGGTTGACACATGCTATTCACATTCAAGGGTCATTCTTGGTCCTAAACTTCTGGTCAATGACAAAAATTGG